CCAAAAACGCAGAAGATTAAGAAACTGGTTGCCCGCCTACGGGACGTCTCCGTGAATACAAGTAATAAACAGTTGACCCCGGCACAGGTTAAAGAATCCACTGAATTAAAAACGATGCAAGATCAACAGGACAAGCTGGAAAGAGATCGTCAGAACTGGAAGAATTCCCTAGAAGAATATGTCTACGATCTTCCATCAAAACTGATGGGGCCCCTTTAACCATTTGTTCTGAAAGAGGAGAGATCTAACTTCTCTCAACAGCTGACGGACGCGGAGGATGGGGAGTTTGCTAAGCGAAGCGAGATTCAACAGAGCCTAGAGGAGCTGAAAAGTTCGGGTGAGCAGTACAAAAAACGCGTGACTGAGAGAGAGCGCCGTCCAGGTGCTGTCGATGCGCTAGGCCGGGCATGCATACACTACCGCAAAGTTCGGGACCAATACTCCGCAAAGGACCCAGCCTACGACCATCTTCTCAAAGAAGACATGAATTAAGTTTCAGGTTGGCTGAAGGAGACGGAGACATCGCTCTATTCCACAACTAGCGCCATAGCTGCAATGAAACCAATGGATGACCCCTCTATGATGGCCGATCAAATCTTATCGAAGGCCACGAACCATGAGGCTCGCTGCAAACCTCTCGTTACCCGACCAAAACCAGAACCGCCTGTGCCCAAGTCAGAGGCTGGTGAGAAGGACTCTGAGTCCGTCAGCAATGCTTCCGCGAAGGGGACATCAAAGGACGTCAAGGCAAATGGAGTAGACGCCGCTGGTCAGGAAATGGATGTGGATTAGCTCATTCACGTTTTTCGACATATCGTCATTCGCCACTTTTCCGCCACACTTTGATCTAGTGTTGTACTTTAAAGGACCGGCTGTGTGCGTGCCTGTTTATTCTCCGTGAGCTTAGTGGTGGTCTCAGCACCATGTTTGGAAAAGCCGTCGATAGCGCGCAACCACGAATGCATACACGGTAATATAGAAATCCGCGAAAAATTTGCAGACCCTCTCATTCCCAAACACGCAAACATAACTAAGGTGCATTCCAGCCAGTTGAAACAGATCATCAAAGACGTGGATAGTTAAATAAAGTAGGCATTGAGTGAACTTGTAGGTAGACAGTTGGTCACCGTGGTATGGCCTCACGCTAGGCTGATGCTGCTGCGCCTTGGACAGGGCTGTGAAATGCACTGCTGAATACTAACTCATTAAAACATGCAACAGTCTGTTCCTGGAATTTCATATCGAATCGTCAAATGCAGCTACAATTATCCTCGTATCGAGATGTGAATATCAAGCCTACCTTTGGACATAAAGCCATTCTGGGTTTACGGATGTATGGAAGAGATGACGCAATTGCATTATACACTTCAATTGTACTTTCATTCATAGTAGTTCAAATGACTCACAGCCTAGAACCACTTGTTTCTAGGTACAATGGAAACTTAAAGAGACGACTAACTGCCTTTTGCTGGTTGTCCTGTATGTTTTTATGAAAGTGAGCATCTGCAGACGGCATCATCTGGGGAAGTCGCAAATACCCGAGGAGTAGCAAAATAGATAAATAAATAAATAAATTTTAATTTAATGCCAGTTTACAGGCATTGTCAAGGGAAGCGATTAAACACAAATCCGACCAGCAGTGAAAAATAAACTCCTGAGCTTAAGGCATAAAAATATAGTTGATGGTGGTTTTTGTGGTTTGGAGGGCTCAGGAGAAAAAAACTGTCGGCGGTCGTAGAATATCGACCGTCAAGAAGGGGGGAGGTTGCACGGTATCGGAGATTATCGGACGTCAAATTCCTTTCATGAAGTTGGGCATAGTCAAAGTAGAGGCGTTGAGGAACAGCTGGTGAGACCGGCCATAGTGTTCAGAGACCACAAACGCCATCGCTACGGTACAGTCGATCAGTAGATTCAGCACTCAAAATTGATGGGAGCTTTTCTGAATGCAAAAATCGAGTAATAGTTCTCTTAAATAAAGGAAAATTTTGCAGAGTTTTCACACTCATGGGTAGTTTATTCCAAATAGCAATTGCATTTACAGAAAAGAACCGACGATATTTAACAGTACGTGCCAGAGGCAGAAATAAGAAGACCTCACGGTGACTGTTACGTCGTGGGTGGATATGATGTCTTAAAGAGGTGAGCGGGTTAAATGTGTGATTATATAAGAGTTTAAATAGCAAAAATAGTCCCTTTTGTAATCTACGGAACCATAAAGGATCGAGGCCTGTAAGCCGGCAACGTTCTTGGTAAGACAAATGTCGGTGTTCTGGGGTTAAAATTTTCTTAGTAAAAAAGTGTTGAACGGATTCTATTTTCTTCCGCTCAGTAGCACGCATGAGGCTAAATGAAAACGAACAGTATTCCAGACCAGGTCTAACGTACATGTTGAAAAGGCGCATTCTAATGTCCCTAGTTTTAAAATTTCGGAGGATAAACCCGGTCGTTCTACGTGCTTTGGAGACTATCAAGGCACAGTGCTCCGAGATATTAAGACTCTTGGAGTATGATACGCCCAAATCCCTTATAAACCCTGGCACATTTATTGCGTGACCTTCAATACTTAGTTGAGGTTGGCGGTCGTCGCCAACCACCATGACTGAGCACTTATGCCAAGAAAGAGAAAGGCGCCATGTGCTGCACCACTGGGCGAAAGCCTGTAGATCGCTCTTTAGGAGCTCAAGCACGATGTCATGACCTGCCGGCCTATATTGATATGCAACTTTAAGATCATCGGCATACATGAAAGGCATACCATTCTGAAATAAATCGGGTACATCATTAACGAAAAGGCAAAATAAAAGCGGGCCGAGTACACTACCCTGAATGACTCCACTCCTCACACGTGTGGGGTTGGAGATGGTATTGGAAATCTTAACTTGTTGTGTGCGAGCGCCCAAATAAGAGGATATAAAATTCAAAAGTTTGCCACCTATTCCGAAAGATGACAATTTCAAGAGGAGAAGAGCATGGTCAACACGGTCAAAAGCCTTAGTGAAATCGAAATATACTGTGTAATGAGCAAAACCATGGTCCCTAGATTGGAGAACATAGTCAAAGAAAGAGAGTTGACAGGTGTCACAAGATCGAGCTTTGAGGAATGCATGCTGAGCAACACTCAGTAAGTTGTTCGCTGTTAAGTGACACATCATCTTATCCTTGATCAATGTCTCTAAGATTTTCGAAGCTGCAGGGAGGGTGTTTATTTGCCGAAAGTCATCAAATGATGTAGACTTGCCGTGCTTAGGAATGGGCAAAATGTGTGATTCCTTCCACAAGGTAGGATAAATTTCACTTTCAAGAGCAAGATTAAAATGTATTAACATCCATTCCTAACCCCAACCGTGCATTGGTGTGAACACATCGTTTTAGTCAGTGAAGACGTGTTGCAGCGCACAGGTCGGCAGAATAGTCGAACGGTTCTACTTGCTTAGAAAAACCCAGTAACCAACAGATTCCTTAAAATATCCAAGCGCATTATCTGACGGCATAATTCAGATTAACGGCAGCGCGAAACGTAAAGCAGGATGCCGTATAGAAATGGATAGTTGAATTTTAGGCAGAATCATTGTGTTTTCGACTTTTTATGCACCTTTAAGTGAGACAAGTCCAGAGAATCTTGGTTGAATTCAAAAGGTTTGCAGTGGACGCTCGTCTGTGCCAGGAAATTTGGCGTCGCAAAGGAACACAACTACGTACCGCGTATTTGATAGCTTATTCCTTGGTATGTTAGGACTAGAAGCATTACATTTTTTCGACAATGAAAGAACAGTTTTTGCGCTGTCCATTACATTGTGTCCTTCAGTGTTGACTTCTTCATTCTTAATCTGCCAGTACACAATTTGTGCGTGTAAGGGAAACAAAGAATGCCAGAATTGAACATTTACTTCCACCGGTGAATAATGTAAGAATTAATGTACACTGACAAACGTCGCTAACAGGAGGCCCGTGGTGTTTCAAAATTACTGGAATTAATATCTTCTATTGTAGATAGTTCGCCATGCCAAGGAATCCAATACACGTGCTAACTAATGCGGAATTTGTTAAACTGCCTTTGGGGACTTTGATATCCGTGTGAATTTATAACGTTATGCTATATTATCGAATATTAATTCTAGGTGATCTGCCGTATTTGGATCAAAAGATGATTCATTCCGATTCGCAGTCTTCGACTGTCTCTGATGATGGTTCCGAGTGAGAATCCGTAACGTCAGCCCAATAAATGTCTTGTTCTGGTGATCGAATCTTTGTTTCTGGATTTCTTTTCTATCCTGTAGTCAGGCAGCTCAGGCCTGGCGTTCACATATTCGAATGGAGACAGATTTTTCGACTTTGGAAGAATGGATTTAATTATAACTGTTGCATGAGAAAATTCTAACGGATATCTCCGCTATCTTGTACTCAGGGAGCTCAAGCCTAGTGCCGGGATTAGTTGTGTATATATGCACCGCGTGTATCAACTGCTAAATGTAACCGTTGTTCGTCGATGTCCTCCATAATATTCAGAGCTACCTGGCTTGCAGCGGTAATGCATTTCCCTTTCTAAAGGTTTATTTATATCGTCACTTATATCCGCCATTGCAGCAATCCCTTCCAACCACCATTGAAGAATATAAAAGCGAATGGAGTGTCGACGGTGAACATTATTGCACGTTACTGTCCTTACACTATATGCCGAATTTTACAGCGCACTGGAAATTTCTGAACCACGCTTTCTCAATAACAAGCATTTACTTCTGAACTTCACACAAGCCACCGGATGGATACACTTCATCTTTAGACACACCTTTCCAGCCAGTTTGATGAACCGTTCCAATGACAAATTTAGCTCATTATTCTTCCTAGGCCGATTCTACTCAACCCAAAATTGCTGTGTGTTCTGTCGGTTTACTGTATCAGATTTAGTGGATTCTACACATTGCAGTAGGCAAGGCGGATAATTTGACCCGAAAATGATTTAACTGACGAATTTCGGTGAGATCACATAGCTCAGATGGCTAGAGCAGTGGCTGAACTTAAGCCTTCACCATTGCTGCCGTCAGTTCGAATAGTGTTTGTGAAAATAAATGCGGAAACACGATTGCACACGAGGACATCAAGATCGAAATGCAAATTTGCTGTATCTGTGAGATCAAAATATGCACATTATTCCTCAAATGTGATATTCGGAAGCATTTAAAACCAGTATCCTCAGAGACCCTTATGGCGTTGGCACATTAATATCAGCAACATTAGCATCCAGAGCGGTCACCAGATTCGTAAGAGGATTGTGCAGTGATTTACCGTACTATCAACATAGATATTAGCTAAAAGCCAAGTAGCTGATGAATTACAGCTCAAACGTTCATATCAAAATTTGGACGGTGCTTGAGAAGGTCGGTTTCGAAATATTTTTTCCAAGTTCCCGCATTAGATTCATCGGAAATTAAACGAGACTTCAAAGAGGATGTTGACGTGTGATTGCAAATAACGAAGGTAAAAAGGTGCAGAAGTACTTTATTCACAGTATTCAAAATGTTCTTTGGAGGGCGTTTAATGAGTAGACTTTTAATAGATATCAATGTGTGCAGTATGTCCAGTATGCATTAAAGTTCTTGATATGACTGTTTGCAAAGAATACAAGACATATGAAATAAAACTCGATCAAAAGCAGCAATTTGACATCGCGGTCTCGCTGGAGTTCCTGTCATTGAGCCGAAGGGTACCGCTCACATCAGGAACACCCAGAAGTTAAACAGAGTGACACACACTACAGGGAGAAGCAAGAGTACAAGTCAGCATTAGATTTCTAAAAATGTTACGTCTGAATAATCCCAGCTGCATTTTTAAACATTATATTTTGTCCTCGTTTTCAATAGCTTCATGGGCTTAGAATAAGACTCTGTCACAGCAGTTTCAATTTGCGTGCCATATTTCGGCAAATCCTTCAAGACCAATGCAAGAGCAATTTGTTATCAACATCTTTCCACAAGCTCGCCAAAGACTTTCTTAAGCACATTAAGATCGGACTAGATACAGGAAACATAGATCGGCGATCATTCATTTCTTGAGAAAATAAGAAAATTACGGGAATATCAGAGTATTAAGAACGAACAAACTCCTTTTCATTCAATAAGACTGCCGCTGTATAATAATTTTCGTATAACAAAACAGCATTTACTTGGGCCCCTAGTTCCGACGTACCTATTGGCTTCTCCGCCCCTGAAGTGGCTGTTTGTTGCACCATTTACGTTTTGGTGACTGGCCCAGGATTACGTTTAGAATGCCCTATAATATGAAAAAAATGTTTTCGACAAAACTCAGCAAATAGGTCTGCATGCCAACTGTCAAAAAGGCATAAACATTGCATTAGCGATGCCGAAAACCAACCTCTTCAGTCAATAATGTAGGTCACTGTCCTAGTATTCTGCTTTTCTGCGTAACAGCAGTAGAAAGACTTTGTTGTATTTCTGTTACGTACATCACCACCGACTGTTGTACGACCATCATTCATAAAGTAGCCTAAAGGATATCCAATGAGTAACGTGTTACACATGTGTTCTATGCGCACTAACATATCAGTGATGACATGAAGGATTTAAGATTCAATTATTTCGAATGTTGCTACACTTGTGCAGTTATGTAGTCACTGGGTGTCGCATCACAAGAGAAATAGTCACCAGGGGAATGTAGATTACGAATTACTTTCATATCCAGACACATAACTGCTGTCTCACATAGGTTGTCAACGTAGTGGGGCAGATGTCAATAATATCGAACCTCAGGATTATGAAAGTGCATGAATCTGCTTCAAATTTCCCTCTGCTACCTTGTTATCTAAAGGAGTAAGCACATCAGGTCTGGGAAGGCACTTTGTGGGCCACTCAGTATATCCGGGGCTACCGTCTTCCGCCCGTCACACACAACGGTTTAGTAAACTTGGCTAAAACAATTTTGACCGGAATTTCCTTTCTATAAGCAATCTTGGCCTTGTGGTGCTAGTTGTGGTAGCATAAGCAATGATATCAGTAGCGGAATTAGTAGCAGTCGTAAAAATTAAAAGCGCTGAATAGAATAACCGAGCGAACGGATATTTCCGTATTCTGGCCTTCGAAGACGGATTAAACAGCTAGCCCCCAGCATAACCTATAAAAGTGCTTCAATATTTACAGACGTCGATTGCGTTTCCGAGAAGCAATGTTCTTAAGACAGAAACAGACAACTGCGATCATCAGGGTTTTACGGAAATCAGCCATCATTCTTTTCCTCAATTTCGAATGACTGCGACACGTTTGAACAGTAGATGAGTACTGTACGTAAGCAATGCATCTGCCAAACGAAAAAAGGCAAAAAAATCTTATCGATGTGGGGCTCCGTTTGTGATAGAACCGAGTCTTTTCCTCAGACGTTTTACCTAGCAGAAGGCTGAAGGGAAGAGTCAACACGGTCGAATGGTCAGGTTCAGGAAGAAAGACACTTTTAAGGGCGGAATTTCTGCGTCTGCGAATAACTACAGGCCAGTGAGTCTTACCTCCACCTGTTGCATCATCATGGAGAAGATCATTAGGAAGGCCTTGATGCAGTTCCTCGAGCAGCACCACCTCCTGTCTGACGCACAACACGGCTTTCGAAGTGGTAGGACATGCCTCACGAATGTGCTCTTTACGCTCGCACACTGGACCGAAGCACGCGATGAAGGCAATGTGGTGCACGCCATCTACACCGACTTCAAAAAGGCCTCTGATTGCGTTGCCACTAAAGTCTCTTGCGTAAACTGCGCAATGCTGAAATTCGTGGACGCCTTCTTGTATGGATCCAGGGCTTTTTGGCTGGACGGTCCCAAACAATGCAGGTCGGGCATCAACAGTCCTCGGAGGTAAGCGTTGTGAGTGGCGTTCCACAGGGCTCAGTCTTAGGTCCCACGTCATTACTCGTTTTCAAAAATGACTGCGTCAAGGACCTAGACTGTGATACCATCCTGTTTGCCGACGACATAAAATTGTGGAAAGTTATTTACAATGCGGCAGACGCAGACCACCTGCAAGCAAACTTGAACAGGCTCAAAGACCGCTCGAAGCGCCGGCTTATGGCCTTCAATATAAGCAAGAGCAACTTTCTTCAACTAGGCAGCTTCAGAGCCTCCAGCCCCAGGACTTACTTTCTGCATGGCACACCATTGCAACATGTCGACAGTCAGAAGGACTTGGATGTATGGATTACATCTTCACTCAAATCAACACTGCACTGCGAGAAGTCGGCTAAATCGGCTATGGCTACACTGCAACTCATTAAGCGAGCATTTATGAGATTTGACCCAGACTGTTTTTCCAAAATATTTGGCACCTACGTGCGGCCTCATCTAGAATGCGTCATACAGGCGTGGAGGCCATGGACTTCCAAGGAATATACCGTTTTGGAGAAGGTTCAGAGACGAGCGACCAAAATGACACAAGGTCTGGGAGCGCTGCCCTATGAAACCAGACTGTCAACTCTCAACCTGTTTCCCCTTTCCTACAGGCAAATACGTGGAGACCTTATACTAACATTTCGCATTATCAACGGCCTGGACTGTTGTTTACATCCCACTGATTATTTCACTCAAGCTAACACGCCCACTCTGCGCGGTCATCCCCTAAAACTATGCGCCGGGAAAGCAAGGATCAATGAAAGAAAGTTCTTTTTCAGTCACAGAGTGGTTGCAGCGTGGAATGCCCTGCTACCGATGTTGCAAAATCCTCCTGTGTGAATTTCTGCCAGTGTGGACTTGAAGCGTATCAAGCTTCCTAATTACCAGCCTCACATCCACTCACTTAAGCAGGGTTCCAACTTAAATTTGCTTATACTACTTGTAACTAGTAAGTAAACGTCATTGTTTACTCTTTTTCTACCAGCTGTCAGCAGTTATGTACAAAACCCCTTTATGACCAAATGATAATCGATCAGACCTGGAAGAATGGAGAGCTATAACCCTGTTATAGGCCATCATTAAACGCAGACTTAACTCACTGTAGTTGTTAACCTTAAGTGCAGACTGCAGCGTATGCTGCCCGTGCTGTGAGGACATCATGCCACAGACGCATGACAAGCGAACGATCAAGGTCATGACCCCTGTTCACACCTTCTTTGTGCAAACTGGCCAACCATCGGCCTATGACAGTCTCCTCCCTGCCATATACCCGGCCGTTTCCACAAGCTTCCACAACCTGTGCTGTCTCTCGTACTCAGTACACGTCCTATTTCCAATTAACCTTCTGTTTTGTATGTATAAGATTGGCAAACATGTCTTCATTGCTGCCTACACCCTTACCTCTCTGGCTAAAGAACACCCAGAAACCCTTCAAATGACTCGTGGTTGCAATGGTGGAAGACATGTGATTATTATATTAAACTACTCAAAAATGTGTCACCCACGATTGTACTTGACGTTCCATCTAAGTTGAAACTCCTATGGACGAATCTCGGAGAGTTGGCACAAGGATATTTCCATGACCTCAATATACAAAAGACTACAGATCTCCAATCAGCCTTCACAAAACTGAAGTCAGCGCGGGGAGGAAAAGACAACGTCTTCCAAAGTCGCTATCGTTGTTGTCAAATGCGTCAAGAAATCAGTCAATGTGTAAGTGATTATATTACTAATCTGACTCTGGCTCAAAGGACAATGGTCTGCTGCTGCTCCGCACCTGCGCATAACACCGCCTTATCCTGACAAACACTTTCTTCTGTCTGCCGGAGCGAGAGAAGGCCACTTGGAGGCATCCTCGGTCGCGTCAGTGGCACCTGCTCGACTATGTCCTCGTCTGAAGGCGTGACCAGCGGGACGTGCTGGTGACGAAGACGATCGCGGGTGCTGACGGGTGGACCGACCATCGCCTCGTCATCTCGAAGATGCGTATTCGCCTACAGCCTCGCAGGAGACCTCAAGGTAAGCGACCCCCAGGTAAGCTGAATGTTGCCTTGTTGTCCTTGCGCGCTCACCATCTCCATTTCAGCAATGGGCTAGCTCAACGGCTAGACAACCTCCCCATCGCCGATGCCGTCGCTGCCGAAAACGCCTCCGTGGAGAACCGCTGGTGTCAACTGCGAGACACGGTCCGGTCGACGGCGCTCACCGTCCTCGGTCGCGCTCCCCGCCAACACCAGGACTGGTTCGACGACAACGACGCCGCCATCAGAAATCTGCTAGCTGAGAAGAACCGCCTACACAAAGCCTACGTCGATCACCCCACTGACGACAACAAAGCTGCTTTCTACCGCAGTCGCCGCCAACTTCAGTAACGACTGCGCGAGATGCAGGACGCCTGGACTGCTCGCAAAGCTGAGGAGATCCAAGGCTACGCAAACCGCAACGAATGGAAGAACTTCTTCTCTGCGATCAAAGATGTCTACGGTCCGCCGACAAAGGGCACTGCTCCTCTCCTCAGCGCCGACGGCAGTACTCTCCTGACTGAGAAGACGCAAATCCTTCAGCGATGGGCCGAGCATTTCCGAGGCGTCCTAAACCGCCCTTCCGCCATCTCCGACGCCGCCATCGCGCGTTTGCCGCAAGTCGAGACCAACGCGGACCTAGACCTCCAGCCATCTCTCCAGGAAACGATCAGGGCCGTGCAGCAGCTCTCCAGCGGGAAAGCACCTGGATCGGACGCAATCCCTGCTGAGGTCTACAAGCACGGTGGTCCCCAACTCATGGATCACCTGACTGTGCTCTTCCAGGAGATGTGGCGTCAAGGTGAAGTCCCGCAAGATTTCAAGGACACAACTATCGTGCACCTATACAAGCGAAAAGGGAATCGCCAAGTCTGCGACAATCACCGTGGCATCTCCTTGCTGAACATCGCCGGGAAGATCTTCGCTCGCATCCTTCTCAACCGCCTCAATAACCACCTGGAACAGGGCCTTCTGCCGGAAAGCCAGTGAGGATTCCGTCGTCATCGTGGGACCACGGATATGATCTTCGCCGCCCGCCAACTTCAGGAAAAGTGTCAGGAGATGCGGACCCACCTGTACTCTACCTTCGTGGACCTGACGAAAGCCTTCGACACGGTGAATCCTGAAGGACTGTGGAAGATCATGCAGAAATTCGGCTGTCCGGAGTGATTCACTCAGATGGTGCGTCAGCTGCACGACGGTATGATGGCGCGAGTCACGGACAACGGAGCTGTCTCAGAGGCATTCGCAGTGAATAAGGGAGTGAAGCAGGGATGCGTGCTGGCACCAACCCTCTTCAGTCTTATGTTCTCTGCCATGCTGATGGACGCCTAACGCGACGAACGCTCCGGGATTCGCATCGTCTACAGGACGGACGGTCACCTGCTGAATCAACGGCGGATGCACTTCCAATCACGTGTATCCACATTAACCGTTCACGAACTCCTCTTCGCCGACGACTGCGCCCTGAACACCACCTCAGAAGAGGAGATGCAACGGAGCATGGACCTGTTCTCCGCCACCTGCGAGAACTTCGGTCTGGTCATTAACACGCAGAAGACGGTGGTGGTGCACCAACCGCCACCCAACTTAGCCACAGCCCCCAACGCGTCGCCGCAAATCAGCGTGAATGGGACCCTACTGCAAGTGGTAGAGAACGTCCCGTACCTGGGCAGTACTCTCTCCCGCACCACCAAGATTGATGACGAAGTCGCCAACAGGATCTCGAAAGCCAGTCAAGCCTTCGGTCGTCTCCAAAGCACAGTTTGGAATCGTCACGGTCTTCAACTAAACATGAAGCTGAAGATGTACAAGGCCGTTATCCTGCCGACGCTACTGTACGGAGCAGAGACCTGGACAGTGTACACGAGGCAGGCACGCCGCCTAAACCACTTCCACCTCAGTTGTCTTCGTCGCATCCTGCGGCTGAACTGGCAGGATCGCATCCCCGACACTGATGTGCTGGAACGAACGGGAATGCTCAGCATCTACTCCATGTTGAGACACATGCAGCTGCGCTGGAGCGGCCACCTGGTGCGCATGGACGACGAGCGGCTACCCAAACGACTCTTCTACGGAGACGTCGCGACGGGTTCTCGTCGTCAAGGAGGCCAAATTCGCCGTTACAAGGATACCCTGAAGTCCTCCCTGAAGCTACTGCAAATCAACCCGACAAACTGGGAAGAGCTCGCCTGCGATCGTTCGGCATGGAGGAGAACAGTGAAGACGGGCGCTGCTATCCACGAAGCCAACCGCATCGCCGCCGCCAAAGCGAAACGCGAAGCCCGCAAATCACAACTGCGCCCAGTCAGCAACGCTGCCGCACAACTGCTTCCAACGTGTCCTCGATGTAAGCGGACATTCCGGGCTCGAATCGGCCTTGTTGGACATTTTCGGATCAACTGTACCTCTCGAACTGCACCAAACTTCATCCCCCCGCCCGCGTCATCCTCGTCCTCTCTGTCGCCCAATAACTCTGTGAATTCTTCTGCACCACCACTTCCATACTCCTCCTCCTGCTCCTCCTTCTCCTCCTCCTCCTCCTCATCCTCCTCCTTCTTCTCCTCCTCCTCCTCCTCCTCCTCCTTCTTCTTCTCCTCCTCGTCCTCCCCCTCCTCCGCATCCTCATCATCCTCCACCCCCACCACCACCACCACTGCCCCAACTTCGGCCCTCAGGCAGCTGTCTCGCACATCTCCGACCGCGACACAACAACCGGTACCACCCCCGCCTCTCCTGACTCCAGCAATGAAAATCAGGACTACACCTGCCCTCACTGCGATCGCACCTTCACCTCACGTATCGTCCTGGTCGGTCACTTGCGAATCCATCGCACAGAGACCGGCGAACCAGTGCCTGAAGCACCAGCCTACACCCACCGCACTCGCCTCCACTGCCCACACTGCCCTCGCACCTTCACGCATCGCATGGGTCTATTCGGCCACATGCGCATCCACGACGACCTGCGGTAGACAACCGCCGGTTACACCACATATCCACACACTCCCTACCCTCCTCCACCATCACCAACACACATCAACACTTACCCACCGCATGCACCAACTACCACCTTCCACGCAAGTGGGAAGTGTGCATCTCGACTCGGTTCCCACGCGGCTTTGGCTGTACGGGTGATTTGAGTCCGAGACTATCCCGACACTTCAAGTGTCGTGGATAGGAAGGTTGCTGATTGATGTCCGCTCTCGGTTCACGCAGTTCGTCGCGTTGTGTGTGCGTGCTGTGTGGAGTGGCGGACTGGTGGGCTGGGATCGGGCTGTAGCAGCACCTTCACGGCCCTCTCACGCAAGCGAGCGACACGCCGTTCAACCCCCGTTGTGTGAAATCCTGGTGTTTGTGTGTGTATGGAGGGCCAGGTCGGGCTGTGGCGCGCGCAGTCACGGTCAGTCGACCGTGGCAGCCACCGCGCCCATCCACCACTCCAGTTTGCCGACCGGCTCGGACGGCGGCTGGGGTGTGGGAATGGGAAGGGAGAGTGAGGTCGACGACTCAGCGCACTTTTTCCTCAGTATAATCAATCTGACGCGCTTGAAGCTATCACGGTTCGCTAAAAGCCGTGGCTTGGAAGGTTGCCAACTGACGGGGTACCTTGGCCCTCCTCCATCACTAGAGGCGGTCTGAGAGTCAGGCTGCAATGGCTCCTTTTTAATGTAGCCTTTATGGCACTCCCACCACAGTGTGGGATCCGAGCCAGGCGTTGGCGGCACGCCTAGGTGCGGCTTCGGCCGTGCCAGCCTCCAAATCTCTGTTGTGTTGGTTGAAATCCTGGTTATTGTTGTGTGGACCAGGGGGTGTGGTGGAACGCCAAGGTGAGGATCGGTCCGAACCATCCACCTGCGGCCTCCCTCGTCTCCGGTCTTCTTGACTCTGTCTTGACACCGGGCTCGGGCGAGGGAGGTGGAGAGAGTGTAGGTAGATGCAGCGCACGTCTACTGGCACTATAAATCCCTGCGCAAGTCACCGTCCCTGCTCCAACCTGCTGTGGGGCATCATCATCGAAATCGATGGTCGAACTGTCAATCTGACTCTGGCCATCCAGGAATGTAGGTATAAATAGATTAAGGCGGAGAACTTCGAGCACGCAACGCTCGTACAGCAGTTGATCGTTGGGTTTCGCGATGAAAAAGCTCGGGAAAATCTCTTATCAGAGAAGAAGGATTTGTCATTGGAGAAAGCCTGTGATTTCGCCAGTCAACAGGAGCGCGTGCGGCGAAACCCTCAACAGCTGAATCAGTCAAACTATGGAGTGATAGCACCCTTGGAATCGTAAATGGCTGTCTCCCAAGTCAACATTGCTGTGTCTTCACCTAGACAGCGACCCTCAGCTCCCTAAAACAACTACCATCCTGCTACCGTTGTGGTCAGCATCATATCCGGTGGTCAGACTCTAGACACCAGAAGGCGTTTAGCCAGTTTTGCAAGAAAGTCGGTCACATCGAACGAGTGTGTTTCTCCAAAAGACGAGCGAATACTAACACGCATGCGACCAACCCTAATCCAGCTTGGAGGGGCGAGACGATACTCCGAATGTTTTCGGCCAACGCGACACTCCAATCGCCCTGCACCATCACACTTCCGGTTGATTGCTATCCCGTTAAGTTTGAAATCGACACTGGCTCAGTTTTAACTCTCATCAATGAGGTCTCTCTTCAGAAATAACCCTCCCTCCTTCCGGCCAGCTCAAAATTCCGTAGTTACACTGAACCGAACGTAGAGGTTCGAGGCGTTTATACAGACGAGGTCTAGCATGAGGGCGAACTTAATTACCCTCCGGTTCATGTGGTGAGAGGAAGCCAGTAACCAAATCTCCTCGATTGGAATTGAATTAAATGTGTGCCTTCTGTGCCATTCAAAGCTCTAAATAGGCGCCGCGCCCCAACAATACTAGTAAATTGCGTTTATTCCCGGGGTTGATTTTCCATTTTAGTCGTTTTTATGAATCAATCGGCTACAATTATAAAACCCCTTTTATTAACTACTTGGAAAGAATTGTTGTTGGAAGTGGTCGGTGGTCGACCAAAGTGCTTTTGAACAGGCAAATGCGGCTCTTACCTCCTCATCTGTCCTAGTTCATTATGACCACGAAAAGCTTATCATAATCAAATGTGATACGTCCTCGTACGGCGTAGGTGCGGTTCTCATGCACTGCATGCCTTCTGGTGCGGAGGTGTCGATTGCCATTTCATCGGAAGCGGAACATATATATTTGCAGCTAGATAACGGAACCCTAGCAATGATTTTTGGCCAAAATCGCTTCCACCTATATATTTTTAGCCGACCCTTCGAGATTCACATGGATCACAAACCCCTCTTAGGTTTGTAAGGAGAAAACGAGTGACACAACAGATAGGAAACAACAACAACAATAGGAAACATCTGGATAAGACAGCAATTGAAATTCAGAAAAAATTCCTAATAAGCGTACAGTCACGGGTAATTTACAATACGCGCTGCTCTCCTTGCTTCTGTAGAGGAACACCAACGCTAGACTTCCGATTTTTATCCTTTGGAAGTCGTTTTGACAGTGTCTGAGGCTGCTCGGGGATCCTTACAGCACATGAAAATGGAACTAATTCCTGTTTGGGAGCCTAACCACGGGTTCTCGGCCACACTACGTAAACCTTTTGGGAAAAGTATCCAGTTTCCTCCTAAGCGGTCGAAGAACTTCTTGGGTTTTGGCGTCTGAGACAGGGAGGAGTCTCGTCATCTTTTGTTGTGCGAGATAATAAGAGGAACACCATTTCTAGAAACACACGATTGAATAGTTTGCTGGTCGTTTTGCCAGTCTGAATCGCCGCTGTGAAATTTTCTTAGTGCCAGACAAAAGCAACCGACCCCTGCTTATGGAAACAACTACGGAAGTGCGACTATACACGTTGATATTCCTGCAAAATTAGACAAGTGAACTATCTGCTGAACCGAGTTACGCTTTTGGCCCACATATTTCTGACGGATTCATCGCACGAATGATGGCAAAGATTCCTTAAAATCTACAAATTTACATTCCGCCGCGACTAACTCTGTTGTAGAACAAAAATACCCATAAAACAATACTAACCTAATTTATAACTCCTATGCTATTTGGTGTCCAACATGTTCGGTTGCATTAACTGCCAATTCTGGAGACTTAAAAGTACCTACTGAACGTGAAATCATTGATGACAAACATGTCATAAATCAAAAAATGGAAAAATTATGATGATTTTGAAATCTACCCGAAGTATCTTCGCGGATATTTATACAATATTTACATCTTCTCAGTCCCGGAAACACTCTCCTTCAGACTGCTTTGTCCTTCATTATACTGACATTTATTCTATCAGGAAGTGAAAAATCCATGACTATGCTATTCTGCCTTTATCATGCGCCGCTCTGCGACTGCTGGTTGTGCTCGAGAGAGAGCCCGTAAGGCAAAACGAACGAGTGAGTTCCGTAAAAACGATCGTTGAGCGCCCCCCTACCATTCACAGGACATAGTCAGCAATGACGCCGAACCGCCCATTAACAGTGGTCGTTGTCGATGACCGCGTAGTCAGACCTAGGAGTGTGGACAGATGTTGCCTAGGTTTACGGTCAACATAGATTGCAGACTTAACACACTCAAATTGCTAATCTTGTCTGCAGACGACTAACAGTATTAAAGCGCTGGAAAATCTCCGGATGGGAGAGCGTTTGCAATACATAAATAATACTGCTAATAAGCATACAATGAAGAGTAGTATAAAGTACGTAATACGCCATTTCTACACCATGCTGCCTCATCATCCTTTCTTCTGCAAGATTTATAGAGCAACACTGACGAAATAGTCTAAAATCTGATTATTTGGAAGTTGTTTTGACAGTTTCTAAGGCTGATTGAAAATCTCCACAGCGCGTGACAAAAGAACTAATTTCTATCTAGGAGCCGAATCGCGGGTTCGCTATTGCACCACGTTAACGCTTAGGTTAAATTATCAAGTTTCTACATAAGCAGCTAGAGAACGCCTTGACTTTTGGCGTCAGAGATATGGCGCAGTCTTGTCATCTTTTGTTATGTGAAATAAGAAGAGCAACACCCCCCCCCACACATAAACCAAAATCTGGGTGGCTTGCCGGTTGTTTTGTCAGTCTCCATCGCCGCTGTTAAATTTTCACAGTGCCAGACTGACGTCTGTTTATGAAAACAACCACGAAAGCGAAACTGTACACCAGGATATTCCTGGAAAATAATTTCAAGTGCTCTTTCCGCAGAACTAATATTCGTCTGTGCCAAAGAATTTCTGACGGATTTACCGCATGTATGGTAGCAATAGGTGAGTATATTGTAGGTCAGTATATTTTAAGGGCACTAGACAATGCCCTTAGAAACCATATGGCTATCTGTCATACGTTGCGGTGCGTTTTCCGAGCATGAACTTTTGCATAGATTTCAAACCGCTGAAAATTAAAATTCAACCAATTTACGTCCCGCTGTCCTTCTCAACTCCCATCATTAGTCTTGAGTTGAGCTTCTTTAAGAAATTACGCGTCCATATTCGATCGGTGTCTCCAGCGTGTAAGATACGCACCGGTCCGAAACGTAAAGGTCGGAACTACGGGGTGCGTACAGCTGCGATGGCAGAAGTCGCACATTTTGTAGGCTGCATCGGCTTCACTAGCGCCTCCCGCGCCCGGAACGTTCAGATGTCCGAGCTACCCGACGTGAGACGGTGAGGTAACGTGAGGACTACCAACGTAAAATGCCGGCACCCCCCTCGAAGTTCTGTTGCATATACACTGGGCTGCACATTCATGTGTAACTCTGAGTCGTGTAAATAATAGTGCCATAAAATCACACTTTTACTCGTCAGATAAGTAATGGTGACTATTGTTCTGATTTTCCATGAGGACGGACTCGGCAGTGTAGGCCACATGCTTTCTGTCTCATTCAAGTGTTAGCGGTTTGTGAGTGCCAGGCTGACTGGTAAAAGGATTGGCACAACGGGTTCCCGCCTACTTGTACGATACAAGACCTAGTTCCTGATTGGACATGTGCCAAACTGCGGTAACTGGCATATCCCGCATGCAAGTGGTTTTGGCGTATTCATCCACATTGTTTTCCTACCGTCACAGCAACACTTCCGAGCTGAACTGAACAA